TCGGGCCTTCAAGTTTAGTTCTGCTTCTTTTTTTGAACTTTATGTGTCTTTGTGGTTTACTTTTTGGGTATGAAGAGCTGGTTGGTCTAAGCTTCTCTTTTGATTTTATATTGTCGTGACCTGATTGATTTTGTCTTCAGGAGTTCCGTGGTGGCCCAATTCCATTGTGGGTCAGAAGTTTTCAGACTTTCTCTTTAGGTCTGGAATCTACTAAGAACGATTTTGGCCTCAGGAACTTGGGAGTTGGACTGACCTGAGATCCTGGCCGAGGCCATGCCACGCAGGGATGAAAAGGCAGATGGGGTGGGAAGAAGCCCCAAGATTTACCAGGGAGTGGATTGAGTAGCTGGGTTGTACTGGATGCAAAGGATCAGGGAGAGGAAAGGTAAGCCTCGGAGCTCCAGAAAGAGGCTGTCAGCTCCAGAAAGAGGCTGGAGGGTGTTGCAGGACCAGGTAAGTAGAGGGAGGTGAGGGCGGGGCCAGATCCAGAAGCAGTGCTCCTGGGGCCCAAGGAAGGCACTACGTTGGTCTGGGTGAAAAAGATCAGGAAGCACTATTGGTTCCCCAGGTGTCTGGGGCCCCGAGACTAGGAATGGCGCAGGGCCCAAAGTAGAAGTATAGAACGGCGAGGGGGGGGATGGAAAGGTGGATGCCGCTTAGGTCGTCCCGGCGTGGAGAGCTGCGCTATAGACTTACCCCAAGAGGCCTGAGGATAGTAGTGCAGGCTAGGAGAGTTAGCTGGTGGTGCAGGCCCAGGGAAGCAGAGAGAGGTGAGGGCGGGGCCAGGACCAGAAGTGGTGCTCCTGGAGCCCAAGAAAGGGACTGAGTTGCTCTGGGTGAGAAGGATCAGGAAGCAGTATTGGTTCCCCAGGTGTCTGGGGCCCCGAGACTAGGAATGGCGCAGGGCCCAAAGTAGAAGTATAGAACGGCGAGGGGGGGGATGGAAAGGTGGATGCCGCTTAGGTCGTCCCGGCGTGGAGAGCTGCGCTATAGACTTACCCCAAGAGGCCTGAGGATAGTAGTCTGGTGTATTTTTTTTTTAAAGGCGCAATACTTTTTTTCATTTATCAGTGAAAGAAGTTAGAAATTATACCCCCCCTCAGAAAAATCTAACAAAAAAAAATTAACAGATGTTTAACAAATATCCTTGAAAGTCACAGTCACATACAGAGTACATCATAGAAAGAGGGGGAGACATTTTTCCACCCACCGTTATGGGTTTCATCAAAAACTGTATCCACTGAGGGTAGATAGAAAAGGCAACTTTCAGAAAGGAGTATGTTATTAAATGAGGCATGTCTATACGCCTTCCTAAGAGCACCAGGTAGGGAAGATTTTCTAAACTAGATTGAGGAAGTGGAATGTGGAAATAATCTGCCCCCTTCCCCTAAGAGCTGTCCAATGGTTAATGAATTTAAAAACCAAGACTAAAATACAACCCCCCAAACACATACTTCTCTCTCACAAAAAAAGGAGAGAAGGGGGAGAAAACCACTAGGATGTCCCAGATACTCTCTAAAATGGAACCAGGGAGCAGCTTTAACAACTGGAATTAGTCTGTTAAACAGAGTTGTCACAAGCATGCCTTGCTTTTAAACAAAACAAAACAAAACATTTTTCTCTCTTTTACGGGGGGAAACAAAATAAAAACTAGTACTCATCACTTTTCACACAATACACAATTATTCAAAATCAACTAGTACTGGAAGGGCAAGGGCCGTACCAACAGGCCTTGTCTTACACGAGAGCATGTGGGTAGGTGCAGGGGGTTTGTCGTTACCGCAGAAACAAATTTTAATTTTTAATCTTAGTTTGTTTTAAACATTGCTTTTCATGTGTTGAAAACACCAGTTTGCAGAGAAGGCTCTGGAGAGGCGCTCACAGCAGCATACCCCTGCGGCTCTGCTTCGGTTCTGGAGGCTCCAGGGAAGCCAATATTGCTTCATCAAACACATTCTTTAGGCCTTCTGTGTGAGGGCAGAACACTCCATGTAGCTAACAGCCTTCAGAACACTCCACATACTTGACAGCCTTCAGGTCACGAGCCTGCTTTTCAACAGTCTCTGGAGTGATAGGCTTCTGTATGTTCTTGGCAAGTTTCTCAGTAGTAGAATCATCATCTCTGAGATCAATTTGGGTCCCAACAAGCAAGAAAGGAGTCTTTGGACAGTGGTGAGTTATCTCAGTCACCCACTTTTCTTTCACATTTTCAAATGAGGATGGGGAGACCACTGAACAACACATTAGAAATATATCTGTCTGTGGATAATTCAGCAGTCGTAGTTGGTCATAATCCTCTTGCCCTGCGGTATCAATAAGTCCAAGAGTATAGGGTTCTCCAGCAATCATAACTGTGGCTGCATAGTTGTCAAAAACAGTTGGTACATACTCAGATGGGAATTTGTTAGTTGTGTAGGATATCAGGAGACATGTTTTACCAAGAGCACCATCACCCACAACTCACATAATAGTCTGCATTTTGGAAATAGCTCTGTATCCACTTTAAATACTTCAAATTAGATGTCCTCAGCTTCTCTGCCAGGGCGTTGGCAGAACTCCAGAGTTTTCTATTATTTATTTTTAATTATTATGGTCTGTTATCAAGTAAAGCAGTCAAATTTGTTTCTCACTTCTTTTCCCTTTACATTATCTATAGTTTGCCTTTTGATATTTGATACCATTTGTTTTTGGTGCATAAAGATTCAGGGCTGCTGACCATGACAACATATGCTATGTTCTTAGGAGGCTGAGGCAGGAGGCTTTCAGGTTCTAAGCCAGCCTGGACCACACAGTGAGACCCTGCCTCAAACACACAAACACACACACATACACACACATACACACACACACACACACACGTACTCATGTCACACATGCATGCATGTGCACAAAGAGCAGGGGGAAGTGAGAAAGAATAGGGATAATTAGATCTTTATCATGTATTACAGTCAGAATTATGGTACTCTTCTTTTTCTTATTTGTTTTTTTTTCTTTAATTCAACTTTTTAAATAATATGAGCTTCATATTTATTTTCAAATACTGGCATTAATTCTTTATTACATGAATATTTATTGAACATTTACTACATACCAAGCATTGAAGACAAGATAAATAAGACAGACAAGAACCCTGCTCTCACGGAGCTTACATTTTATCTAGATAAATAAACAAGTAAAAAGAGTTATGTGTCATAATGTTGAGGAGAAATGAATGTAAAATAGAATCAGGACCATTAAGGACAAGTGGTGTGTACTATAGACAAGTTCATTAGGAAAGGCCTCTGTCTGATACCCATTTTTCATCCTTTTATTTTACACTCACTGATTTTGTTTCTGTTCTGCTCCATGAGAGAATATACCTGGTTGGACAGTTTGTGCACAAGGAATCTACAGGTGGGCTATGACCTAAATGACGAGAATGGAGATATGTGTATATAAATTTCTGATTCATATGGGAGCTTAAGTTGAAGGGAATGAAAGATATTGTACTTTCTACTTTATCTGAGCTTGGGTAGCAGTATGTGTATTATTTTAAAAGAAATATTGTCAGCCTTCATCATGATTATTGAATGCGTATTCTATCTGGTGATCTAAATGAACCCTTGGAATTTCCTGGCACTGGACAGAACTTAACATGTTCTTTGCTCATGAGCTGTCACAGGAAAACAGATCTTAAGCTTAGAGGGCTTAACTCTTTATAATTGGCTGAAGAGATATCATGTAATTTTGATAATAATTCTTACCATGTAGAAGTTTGACATTTTACGCATATTCAAATAAACCTGGACTTTTTTTCTTTGGAGATTTTCTTTTATAACTTAAAAGAATATTATTTTTCCTCATGATCAATCATATTTTCAGATTTTTCTTATTTATACATGCAATATTCATACACATACAACATATAGTATATTAAATATATACACATTGTTTGGAAGTTACCAAAAAAGATTTACTAAATAATCTTTATCTCATTTTAGAATATTATATGTATGATGATTTTATAGCCTAGTTTGTTTCTGAATTTTCCGCTTTTTACCTTTAGTCAGCAACATACTTGTTTCATAATATATTTAATCCTTTCATACTTCCTCCTCAAATTCTTTTGTCACAGAATGCTCTTTAATAATATAATGCTCTACCCATTTTTGAAAACTAATTTTCAATATATGTAATTTAATGCTTCCCATTGAAATTTGAGTGTAATGTATCAGAAGGAAATGTTTTTATTGAATTTTTGTGTATTTCACACATAAAATCATCTTTATAGCCCCTCCCCTTTGGCACCCTCCCATAAGCCCACACACACACTGGAGTTCATACATTCTGTCATTTGTCTTAAGGCCTATTATGTAAAGTTAGTGTCCTGAGATGTCACTTGGTGCAAATTCATCCACTGGGGTTTAGTCAGCCTACCTAGACTCTCTCCCTTCAAGATCAGCTCTTCCTCATGCAGCAGTAATCAGCTGCCAATAATTATTCGACTAAGACTGGGGCCTGCTGTCCATTTCCACAGTTCTGTGGGTTTTTGTCTGCCTATGTTTGCATGGGTCTTCTGTATGCCGACACCATTGCTGAAGGGTTTGTAAGAGAAGGATCCCAGGCATTTGTAGGACCATTTCCATACAGTCATTCACCTACTCCCTGGCTCTAACAATCATACTGCCCCCTCTTCTGCAATGGTCCCTGAGCTCTGGGTGGGAGGAACTCAATATAGGAATCCTGTCCAAGGACTCACACTCTGTAGAAGGAAATATTTTAAATCCAAAGTAATAAATACTTGTGAATGGCCTATTTAGTATTTTTATTACAAACGTAAGAGCAGAGAATATATATATA